TGCCTAAGTGCACTCGGTGACCTAAGCGACCAGATCCAAAAAGCAACCGAGGAGGTGTACATTGTCTCCCAGAAGACAAACGATGCAAAAATCATGAATTCGCACGAACGCCTCAAGTGTGCCATTGGCAATTTTAGCCACTGGAAGCACTTGCGAAAAAACTGCCCAGGAGAAATAGTATATAAGTGATGTGATCCACAGGAACCGTTGTGCATCAGTTAATGACTGCTTTTCGCCCCATTTGTAATAAAATAAAGTGTTGCATTGATCTTCGCATTGCACCACCGCACCTGACACTCGCAATTCAAGCAGCCACCCTCAGACGGTTCTCTCAGTGGTAGACTATAAGTGCCAATGTCATGTCGTCCTAAGCTGGGAATGGCTGCTACTGCTGCTACGTGAAGTGGGTCAAAGTGGAAGAACGGTAACAAGAATAGAACAAGAGGCAAATAAAAAAAGTATAAACTGGACGATCTGCTGACCGCACAACAATCTATCTCTCGATATTCGAATTGTCTGCCATAATCCGGGAAAAAACTGCAATTGTCTTCAAATCGGCTTCAGATACAAACAGTCCGAACCAAAAAATCATTGGCGGCGCTCAGCGGGCGGGCCCGTGCGATCATTCATTTTTGCAGCATTTCGTGCTGTTCGGAAACCCAGTAGTTAGAATGTGTGAAATACTTGCGCTCGAAGTTCATGAAGTTAATTATTACGCGGTACTTGGACAGGGAGCATTCCATTAAAATTTCAGTCTTCCAGCTTTCCCAGTTCCCGAGTTAGCCATTTTCCCGCCAAAAGTTTCCACGAGGCCATACGCCAGAACCATGCACACCGAGGGGCTGAATTCGATGAATTTATTTTGTACATATGTTTCCAGCACTTCTTGAAAATTTCAACTTCCTAGCTTTCCTGATCCCCGAGTTAGCCATTTTTCCGCCAAGAATTCCCAGGGGACCACACTCGATAACCACACATGACTGGGGGCTGAATTTGTTAAATTTAAGCTGTACATGTACTGGGGACATTCCTTGAAAATTTCAGCCTCCCACCTTTCCTGGATCTCAAGTTAGCGATTTTCCCGTCAGGAGCCTTCATGAGACCGTACATGAGAACCACGCATGCCTGGAGGCTGGATTTGAAATGTGTTCTACGTAAACGGGGAACATAAATCCAAAGTTACAGCTTTCTAGCTTTTCTTGTTCCCGAGTTAGCGATTTTCCCGCCGAAACTTTCACTGTCTCGTACGCGGGGCACTGGCGTGGGAGTTGGTACTGCGATCCTGGGGTGGCACTTGACCGGGGAACTCATAGGCAAAATTTTGGCGCCGGAGGTTGCTTGGGCGCTGAGTTGAAATACTCGGGCAGACGCACACACATACAAACACACACACACATACACACGCACACACATACACACCATGGGTCATCACAATATGCGTTTTTGCATTTGCATATACGCAAAAGCGCATAATAAATAGTGGCACGCATCAGGATTACACAGTTCTATCCATCCAAGCTAAAACGATGCCAGCAATTTTCATCATGTATGTAAACTCTAGACACATCTGGAAGCTGAATCTGAATTTTTACGGTCGCTCATGAACATGAGGCATTCTCTTAAAATTTCTCTTGCATCTTTTCTGGCCTGCAGGCTAAAAAATTTCGCGTTGATAGTTACAAGTTTTCGTATTTGAGATCCAGACGCACGTAAAAGTTAAATTTAAATTTATGCGACCGCACGTGGTCAGAAAGCATTCTCCAAAAATTTCATCTTCCTTGCTTGTTTGGTTGTTGGGT